TTCCTGGCAACCAGGAAAGGAGCTGCATGGTCCAGACCACATTTTAGAGTGCATCAAATCAAAGAAGTAATGGAAGTTCCAGCATTCTCCCAGGCAGGCACGATATTTTAGCTTTTCATCAGTGCTACTCCTGCATATATCAAAAGAAGTCCCACGTTACCTTCTACCAAACTCAGTGTCTGATTTTTCTGCATACTTCTGGGCTCTCTCAAACAAGACATTTAACACTTTTTTTTTTTTTTAACCTCTCTGCAATTTTTCCCCCAGATTCTCCTGGCTTTTTTTTTTTTTCATCCACATTCTTTACACTCCCTTTACTAAGCTGGTAATTCATCCGCAGTTTCATAGAAAAAAAATATTTAACTGCAACCTATTTGAAACCGGGAGCTTGATCCTGCAGTCACTAAAGTCAAAGGCAACAAGGGCATTCTGTTCAATGGGAACAGAACAAACTCAGAGTTCCTGGACAGTGTGTTTTTAATCAGGGAGCCTTCACATTTAAAAGGAAATCATTTGCATCATATTAGTATTCATTGTCCACCTACACAGGATGGGAAATTTACTGAACAAAAAGGTTAAGTGTGTTGATGCCAAGAAGGCTTGCCCATTGCAGAGCCGGTCACAGCAATGAAAGCCTCTCAGCTGTACCTGTTCCAGGAAATTACATCGAAAAGCCTCTGCATTCATGGCTCAGGGGAGGCAGACCTGTTTCGTATGGTACATAAAAGGTCAACTGAGATCACTGTGTGTATTATTCATCCCAGGAAGAGTCCAAGTGTACCAAAAACAAAAATAAAGCTCAATGAAAGAAGGTAGCAGAAGGGAGGCTGCTGCAGGCCGCCTGACACAGTTTACTCAAATATGTCACTTCAGATCAACAGCGAAATGTCTTCCTGCAACTTGTTTATCAGGGGACCCTTCACTGGAAAAATGATACAAGAGTTCTTTGTGCCTGTTACAGAAAAGCACGTGGGCTTTTACAGTTCTGCCCAGCCTGTGGTTCACAGGATAAGCAGGACTCCGGGGCTACTTCCGAAGGACCTGTGTAACAAAACTGAGACAGAAGAGCCCAATGTCACAGGTTTACAACTTGCTACAGAGATGTTGTAACCCTCTTCACTGGAAAATATTAGGCACCTGCATTTTAAAAAAGACTGCAAGTCACCTATTTAGGTGTTTTGTACAAGATGAAGTTTACACAAGGTTTTTTCCTGTAACATTTGATCTAATATTAGGTATTACGTCTGGTGATTAAAGACTGAAAACCCTAGTTTTCTTTCCAAGAGGCCTCCCAGAGCTCCTCTGAGTCTTTTCATGCTGTCTAGTTTCATTTATATCCACCAAATCATTTTTTCATCTTTTAATTTAGAACAGAATCCAAAAGTGCAAAGCTTGTCTGTTTCCAGGTCCCTTTGTTCCTGGGATGGATTTCTGATGATGAACAGCACCTTCTTAGCCTTGCACAAAAACCTGTCAAGGTTTCTTACGACCAGTAAATCTGGGAGCTCACAGAACATTTAAAGTGTAGAAGGGGCCTCTCAGGATTGTCTAGATCCTGCCCTCTGTCCTGGAGAGCCTGCTAATGGCAGTATGCTCTCCAATATGGTGCCTGAGACCTCTGAAAAATCTGCTATAAAAATTACTCATAAAACATACAGCATAAAACAAGGGACAAGAACAAACAACAACCCTGAGCCTTCTCCTTCGGCAGCTCTGCTGGCAGCTCCTCCTTTAGCAGCTCTTACAGGAGGGACAGAATGGGATCTCACACCCTGTGTTAACCTGTGGTTATCAAATGTCTGAGAAGAAATCATGAGAAGAAATAACACTCAAAGCTGTTTTCCTAAATATTAACAAGCAAAGCTTTGCAAATATCAGCCAAAGTAGCAGCTCATGTGTGGAGGCTCCAAAAGCTTGGAAAAGCAAATCAAATTCAAGCTCGCAATAGTGAACAGGTATCAGCAGGCATGAAATATTTGCTCAAATTTTGATCACCTAGAACAATTCAATAAATCACATTGCTCCAGGTACACAGTTTGATAGGAGTCAGACGGCTGCACTGCCCCTGAGAACTGGGCAGTGGGTTTGGGGAGGAAGGAAATAGCTGCTCCATGCAGTAAATAAAAAAAAGAAACAGTTCTGCTGCAGAATCATTCCATTCAGCCGGGCTAGAAACACAGGCAGCTACAAACCGATCATTCATCTCCAACATAAACAGAGATTTGGTTAGACCAGCAGTAACATAGGTTGAGATTTTTAGTAGATGACATAAATAAATGTATTTTTATATTTCCTGACCACATTAAGCTTGAAATCAGAGTTCTAAAATGCGAGCCCCGTACTATAAGACTTCTAATAGCCAATAAATTCAGATAGTCACAGTGAAGCAATGTTTCCTCCTTAAAGGTACATTTTGCTGCCGTGTATATAAATACAAGGGGACTTGTTTTTTTATGGATTTGGAATTTTATGTAGCTGAACATGATCATTCAAAAAAGGTTAAAGTTCTCGTAGGAGGACAGCAAGATGGAAACCACTTCAGAAGGCACATAGTCAGATTCCAAATATTATTCCTACATGGAAAGACGTTAGTAAGGAGATGGGGGAAGGTTGGGGAAAACTATTTTCTCCCCAAAAGGCACCATCCGGGAGAGCAGAGGCATAGCTAAAACATCCCAGCTCAACAACATCACTGTATTTCTCCATTCCTGTCCCACTCTCTTACACTAAGCAAGCATTAAACAGGCTCTTATCCTGCCCAGTGTATCCACTTCCCATTTGTAAAGCAGGCCTTATAGGGCCAGAATTCCTTTAGGTGGTGCCAAAGGAATGAATGAGTTCAGAGAGTTACCCGTAACACTGAGTGCTAAAATACTTAAAAAGGTCGTTTTTCATCCCTAAATCTTACAGCACATTAAAGTGGAGATGATGATATCCCACGCTGGGAAATTGAATACAACACATGGAGTGACTTTTGTGGCTTCTCAGAATGCCCGTAATAAAAGCCAGGAGTGATTCTCAGGTTGGCCGTACAACCCCTAAAAGGTATCTTATGCCTCCAGACCCATCAAGGCTGATGTCCAGGCTGATGCCCATCAGTCAAAGGTTTTAATGACGAAAGAGAGCTTGCTGGATCGCCAGGCTGCCTTTCAGCACGGTATTGCTCCCTAAGCAAGCTCTGGCTGAAGGACAACGCTGCGCTGCGTGGACTTTGAAGGCAAGTCCTTCGCCATGGAACAAAGTTGTTTAGTTTTTGGACCTACCACTTTCAGCGGGTCCCTTACAAAAAGACACGATCCCAGTGGGGGAGCAATAAAGAGAATCAGTGCGGACTGGCTCTGCTGCCCGTTATTGACTTAAAGTCATTGGAATAGCCAAGATGAAAATGTCTGAGCATTGATGTCACTTTGATACAATTGCTCTGGAGGCTATTCAGTTTTCCTCAGGGCGCCTATTCATTTTAGGAGACTCGCTGATCTTTGTCTGATGGCTGAAGTTTTATGACCAGAAAGAAATGAAGATGGCAGCTAAGAGCTTCACTTCACAATGAGAAAAATAATCCTTTTAAGGGAGAATTTGTCATTCCTAGCTCACTTTGAGAACTAGCAGTTGAAACTAAGTAGATGGAATGTACCAGCAGAACAAATGTTAAAACTCTGAGTACTTTCAAGTACAATTTAGCTGCAGGATGACAAAAAAATTAATAACCTCCCCACACCCACCTATACTAAGGTTGAAAGTATTCAAGGACTGGAACTCCAGAATTAAGATTGCCTTGTGCCGTCCTAATTCACTTCTCTTGTGTGATACAATTAAAATATGTTTTCCCCCATGGCCTCACCCCTTTAGTAAGCAGGATGAACAGCGCTATTCAGTTGGGTTTGGGGTTTTTTTTGAACCTTTTTGAGTCAATGTGTGGCCTTGGTTTTATTTATAGCATGCAGTTTAAACTCTTCACTGAATACAGGATTATTCATATCCTTATGGGTTTTTATATAACACTTATCACAGAAATATTTTCTTCAAAAACATAACAAATGTCTCCCGACAAAACCCCTGCCAATGAGGTAGAATGGTAGCACGGGACCCTTCAGCCCAAGTGCTTAATCAGAATCAGAGGTCCCACAAGATTGTTTTGATTAGCATGAGATCATCTGAATGCAATTTAGTGTATAATATATTCTTGTTTCTAGCAAACCAATGGTAACAAAACCCCATTTTTCTGGAGAGAGCTCCAAAACTTCCACTGCCATGAGTTTTCTGTTTGAGAAACCATCTGTTTCCTTTCAGGGTCATCCATAGTATTTGCAAACTTTGTTTTCTGTGGTTTATAGCACTTCCTTCTAAGACCTCTAGGCAAATGACGAGCAAGGCCTAGTCTGGAGCGAAGCAATATAGCACTGTAAGGCTAGAATAAAATAATTCCTAGTTCATATGAATTTGGAAGATTCCCACTTACATTTGTAATTAACAAAATAAAAATAAGAATTACTACCTACCTTTGTTTACATACCCTCTTACTTAGAAGTGTAACTGTAAGTACATGTGATTACGTATACATGCATGTGATTATATATATACACCTAAAACCAAAAAGTAGCCATATCTGCTAGCAAAAATACGGAAAAAAAAACAAAAACAAAAACATCATGTTTGTATGATCTTGTTTGAACACAGCAGTACTAATCAGCAAAGTTTCAAACAAACTTAAATAATTCAGAGACTACATAATCATTCTTCTCACAGACAAGACAATTTACATCCACCCTTTTGATTTGGACCTAAGCTACAAGCCAAGTCACTCTCCATAGAGATAAATGTTACCTCAAGTTCACCAGTATGAACACCTTTGAGAAGCACAGCTTTCAAGTTTGTGCAAGCCTGCAATCCCACCTGCACAATCACAGAGATCGATTTACGATCCTCCATGTCATGCTGCTTGTTTTACATTGTAGTCTTAAAGAAAGGAGCAGATGTTATTTAAGAAATAAATGACTTACTGATCTGACAGCCATCGGGATCTCTCTGTGTTCTTCTGGTTCGTCGTGCTTATCTCAAGCTGTTCTTCAACGATGATCTCTTCAGAGGAGAGGATCTGACGGCTGAAAGAAAAATGCACAATGCTTACAGTTTATATCCACAAGACTGGAAATTTGGCATGCCTGGAGGCCTTAGCATTATTATTATTACAAATATATTCTGGAATTTGTATTTTTGGCATAACTGAAAGATTTGTTATAAAGAATGTAGCTTTATTTTTTTAACGTGTTAAGTTAGCTTGGATTATTTTGAATTCAAGTATTTCAGCAATGACTGTAAATAACATTCTTTTTTGATTTGTTGTAGTAAAAAGAAAGCTAACAAACATCAAGCATCACTTAGCAACATCTTTAAAAACACCACCATCATTATCCTAGGATGCAGCTACCTGAAAATCTGGTCCTCCTACAACCTAGGTTCAATCGATACAGATTTGTTGATTGGAATGGCCTTTTTTCTTTAATGGAAATCTATTTTAAAGTCTAACAAGTTTAAGAAAACCAAATTATCCCTATCCAGAACGATTACTGTAAATCCTACCTTTTGCTCTGGTTTCACAAGGATGTGCTTAATTCATAATATAAGTTGTCTCACTGCAACGCCCCCTAGTTTAAGGCAAGGCCTCTAATTTATAAAGACACAAGTTGGTGCTACTGCCTAGGTTGTAAATCCATCCTCCCATCCAGCACTGTTCTTCAGCAGTATTAGTACTACAACACAAAGCAGTTGTAAGAGGCACCAGGGAGCTTCCATTGCAGACACGGACATCACTACCCCGAGTGTTGTATAAACACAGCAGGGAAATAAAAATTATCACATCCTCAAAGAGATCGACGCAATTATTTTGTTGCTCTAGTATGAGGATCCCAAGGCACTTCGCAGTTAAATCTCTCAGGAAGAATGCATTTCCAGCCTTGTTTTACAGAAGGGAAATGTGAGGAGGACTGAGCACAGTAGCACGACACAATGAATTACACTTTTTCTCTGAAAGTGGACATACTCGGAGTGCTAGACAGAAAGTTTGCTGAGGCTCCCTTTTTGCAGAAATTATCACCAAAAGTAAGAATCCACAAAAACTTGTAGGTCTGGTACGAGCATTTAACTCTGTAGGCACCCATTTCCTCAGCCTGTCTGAGACTCTGGTAATTATTTCTACCCACTAGCCATCTGATGCTCTCAGCTGAGCTCATTGATTTGTTCTCAGCACAAAAATGCCTCACTCAAAGAATGCCTACACATTTCTTAGCGCACTGGGAATCAGAAGTCAGTGTTGTTTCACCTATATGCCTTAGGAAGCTACAGTGATGTAACGTTTGCCATGGCTGCTCTACAACGTACAAATTACAGAATATAATCATCTTACTGCCAACATCTGGTCAAGTTTAAAACAGAAATCTTGTAAAGCTTCTAATTACATCTCCTCATACTTTTCTGAGCTTTATTAATCTCAGCTCAGGGTTGTGTTTTTTGTTGTTGTTTTTAACTTCAGTGAGTACATTCTCTAATTCACAGCAATCTTTCAATGAATTATTTCCATTATTCCCCTTTTCACTGCCTAAAATACAAAACAGGCTCCTGAAGTTTTAACCCTTCACATCACAAAGTGACAAAGGCTCTCAAAACCTCATCCAAGCCATGCTGCAATTAGCTAGAGACTTTCCACTGACTTAACTTTGGATCAGTCCCCAAAACAACAAGGGAGGCTGTGCTACAGCAAGGCATTGGGACAGATATTCCACTTGAAGAATATATTACATCTCCGCTGGCATCACTTAGTCATCTGTTTAAGATAGAGGGATTCAGCATGTTCTTACGTATTTTGGAGAGCACATTTTACACCCCAAAATTGCTAACAAGGACTAGTAAGGTCTAATCTCTGAAATTCATCTCTGAAAAAGCAAAAGCAAAAGTCAATCCTTTCCTTTTGTTTAATAAACAAGCTACAAAAAATAGTATGTTGTGCCAGCAGACAGCCTTCACTAAAGATCTGACTGCAGGTGCACAAGAACGGAAATTATCCTAGTTCGACTTCACACTTGGCCCATGAAGTTTAAGAGTTTACCCAGGCAGTAAGGAGCCTGGCAGCTTAGGAATCAGTCCTCTCAGGCTTTGCTCATGTGAAAGAAGTCTTACTTTCCCGAGCAGACCTGGAAACACACCACTCGCATTAACAGCTCTCCCGAGGCTGCAGAGGATCTTTTCTGTTCCTTTGCTGCTCTTCTCTGACTGCACTGGCCAGGCAAAAAAGACAGGTCCCTACTGCTGAACGAGTAGCAGTCCATGAGTAAATAACAGATTTCCAAACCACTGGTACCCCGCAGAGCACTTTTCAGTAGCGTGTTTCAAAGTGGTCCTCACTGTGCCCGAGGACTATCAGCGCTGCAGCCATTCCCCAGGTGAAGGCACTGAGGACCAAGCCCAGGGCCAGCCTGGCACTCCCCTGACTCTTCCCAAGCTCTGTCCGTGCTGTGCAATGCTGCCTCTTGGTGGAGCACAGCTAAACACTCGGCAAGGCTTTCCACTCTCCTTTCCAGCCTAAACCTCCAGACCTGAACAGAAGCAAAACCTGTCTGTGTCTTCACCTATTCAGGTGAAGTCCTTACAATTCCCATCTGCCTGCTGCATGTGAAAAGGACTAATGCCACGCTTACCGGGACGTTATTAAAGGTAAGATGTTCCAGCAGTGTGTTTTAAAACTGGTAATTAAATTGGACAGCCAGAAGCACTGAATCCAAATGTTTTATAAGCTGAGTTGAATATCCATAGAGAAAAAATGTATGATTTTTCTAATGAGCTAACTCAACTAGTTCAATAATGCACTAATTCAATTTCATCCAAAACAATTCATGAGCTCTTACTTATGAGTTACACAGTACATTGGGACCTTCATTAATTAGCACTATTCCTAGTTGTTTTATGTATTTATGTTATAGGTGCAACATAAGGGTGGACTTGGAAAAAAATAAATCATCTATGCCTTTTCGTTCCTGCTCACAAACAGTGATGGGAAAACCTCCAAAAACATTCTCAGTGTTTTGTAGTTGTTAAGACACTTCATTTTCTCTCATTCCCAAGCTTCAGAAGCTTCCTCTTTGTGATTGCAAACAGATGATGGTAGAGTTTGCAATTAAACTAACACAAGTAAATTCCAATCAGCAGTGGCCTACAGCAGCTTCTCAGTGTTCACTTGAAATGGGGGCCAACTCTTAGTATGAAGCTATCAGCAGGAAAAGCTAAATTAAAATTGATGTTTAGACGCAGTTTCCGTGACCCTCCTTGCACCCAGGAATATCCATAACATCTGTCATGTATTAAATACCAACTTTGGGATTTTCAAACATCCAGTGAGCTTGGGCATTGAAAATCCAATAAGGCCCTTTGAATACATCAGCGCAAAATCTGAAGAGTTTTTAACCATTTGGGAGAACAGCTTTCCACAAAAGGGAGAAGTCTGAGCATCTCTCTACATTCATCAAGAAACGTTATTACGAATACACAATTCGGGGCTTGTTTGAAAACTAGGCCTTAATAATTGAGTTTTTAGTGTAACTGGAATAGATTTTGCAGACTTACCCTATCCTGTCCAATCCTTACAATACTGTGGCAGAACAGAGACGGAAGAGTCTTGCATATTTTCGGTTTTCCAGAAATTACCCCAGTAAAACCAGTGGTTAGTGGTTACAGCTATTCAGTGTCACAGACAGGCATAAAATACAACGGCAGTAGCTTTCACAAAGGTAGGGACTGCTAAGGAAATATGGGGTAAGTTCCAGTTACCTATTCTTGATCTCATTTCAGGGAGCACACTTCAAACACGAGATCCTGCAAACTTCTGGAGCTGTGTTTGTTGCCGTTGTTGTTTTAAGACAGAGCCTCTCTTCAGCAGCAGCACACGGATTCTCCCCGATACAGACAGATTTGCATCCCCTGCAGTGGCAGGCCAGCAGACGCAGCTCTGTTGTGCTGGGTACCAGGCAGTTGGTTGGTACAATTCTGCTGATGGTGCTGGCCAACGTCACCAGCAAATTGCATCCCAGATGCCCTGGAAAGGGTGGCGAGCCTCCTGGTAGTCCCAAGGGAATGCAGGCTCACTGGAAGCCCAGGTCAGTTGGCAGCATGAAGAGATGGAGAAGAGGCATAAAACAAGGTCAGGTCTACCAGGCTTTACTGGTAAAGGGCAGAACTGTGCACACATGAGCATATCGGTCTGGTTAAAAGCATTTATGTAGAAAAAAAATGCTTTAAGCATGGAAATAAAACAAATCTTTAGAGTAAAGTTAATGGGCAAGCCTGGTGCATATATATATGTATACAAGTTCAAAAACAAGCTCTTAGGGCAAAATGACTCATCAGTGCTCTTGGTCTCTTTTTATAGACAATAAAATGCATCCCCTACATTTCCAAACACTCCTTTCTGCCTTTTGAATGCACTCAGTTGTAAGAAACAGTTCTGAACAACTCTGTTAACAGCTATGTTCCTCCAACTGCTTCGAGTCAAAGCAACATGATTGATGGTAAAAGAAGACATCCTCATTTAAATTACTTCCAATTTTCTATTTTTCTCTGAAAAGCAAGTCCAGCCCATTAGTACAGTTGAGTGTTGGAAAAAAAGTTTCCAAAACCAGCTAATATAATGCAACGAAAGTCATTTTGTAACACAGAAAAATACAAGTACTGTTATACAAGTGTTCTTGTTCCAAGAACAATTGTAAGTGGGTTTTGTTTTGATTTTGAAAAATCTCCAATATCTCAGGGTAGTTGCAGTAGACCACACACTGGAAAAATTACATGTTTTTCTGGTCGCTGTGTAATAAAAGGATTTTTCTCTCGGAGACAGAAAAAGGCCTGTTCAGGGCTGGAGAGGGAGTAAAACTCACTAGCAAGAATGAAAGATCAGGAAAGACTGGGTTCCAGTTACAGTTGTATGAGGATAATTTGGTCTAGTTGTCTGAGCAGCTGTCAGGGAATTCGGAACAACAGCTTCTACTTTATCATCAGCCTGCAGAAGACCCTAGGGCTGAAAGCAAAATCAATCACATGGCAGTGTTATGGTCTCTAGTATTATGGGTGCCTCCATGTCAGGGTGTTGAGAGGTTTTGTAACATGAAGTAGGGCACAAATCGACAATCATCTGGGAGGGTAGGTTTCCACTGCTTTAAGATAGAGGGATTTTTGCAAAAGTTTGTATGATATGGCCACAAAGTAAGCCTGCAGCCAGACAGTACATAAATACCTCCATCATTTACGGATGAAGACCCACGGCAGGGTGCAGCCAATAAACTGCAGATAAGCCTAAACTGAGAGTCAGTTGTGACTTTGCCTTGACTTCACAACACGCTGCAGTGAGCCAGTTGCATAACCTACTTTCCAGGTTACTTTACTGCAGTCATAGGGCAATTTTGGACCGACTCCACTAAGTACATTTTTTAACATTCCTTTTACTCACCAATAAAACAAAATAAAAGATTTTATAGCCTTGATGTGTTTCTGGCACATTTTAAAACTACTGCTAATAAAACTTTTCCAAGATGAAACAAGAGGAAAAAATGACCCAGCTGTAGCAATGTGATTATCTCATGATTTGATTTTGTAGTTTTTTGTAAAGTCCAGCTTTTATGCAGGAAACTGGGAAAAAAACATCCCAGAATAAGATTGTGGTAAGAGAAGAAAACCCATGTAGGCACAAGGCACCAAGCAGAACGGTGCTATGATTCTAGCAGCCAACGTTAAACGGAGCTTGAGTCATGGTTTCATGGACACCAGGGGCTTGCCCCTTCTGACCACTGATGCCTGGTGACAATTCACCAACTGACTGCGGTGACGCATGAGCCAGTCCCTGAAGAAGCAGCCTGGCTTCTACGTACGGCACTGGGCAGAGAGCCGAGGGCTCTGAGCTCTGTTCCTCGCTTTGATGCAAACTCCCTGCGTGATTTTGGTCAAATCTCCTCAGCTTCTCATCTGTTAAGAGGGTGATCTGTCTCTGTCTGCTTCCACTGCTCTCAGAATTGTCACAGCCTCTCTTCTGGCATGCCAAAGCCTTGATTTTTGGTGTCTGTAGGTGTAGATGTGCTGTAACAAGGAATGACTAACGCACAGCCTTAACCAACCTACCAGCTCCAGCATCACAGAACGCTGCGGTGACTCAGGACACTGCCGTGCCCACCTCTGCAGGAGAGAAAACTTGCCAAATCTATGGCAAATACTTAAAAACGTGCCTCAAGCACCAAGCACAGCTGCAGCAGGCCTGACCTATGTACGCTATACTGGCCTTTCTGTGCATCCTAAAACCCAAAGTGCATCAGCTGGTTGATTTTCAGGGATCACCTCCTCCAGGCTTGAGAAGGGTCTTCAAATGCATTTTTCCACCTCTCAGAGCAGAGGTGTTATATTAACTACAATGTTACTGTTTATTTTAGGCTACCAGGAAACCTTTCCAATGTCCACTATCTTTCATGAAACTGACCATGAGAGGGCACCAACACTACTTTACAAATACAAAAACAGGCAAATAAATAATTGGGAATTTTCTTACTGACGGTATAGCTTCAAAGGCCTTGAACAGTGCGTTCCCCAGAAAGCCCTCGTGTCAGGCAGCAACCTGGGTGCACTGCAACAGGAGAAAAAACACCCAGCTCCCTAGAGCTGCTTCCCCTCCAGACTCCCTTTATATACAGAGCCCCTTTCCTTAGGGCTGATGAGTTAAAGGTTCACACGGCTTCTATCAGTGCTGTCTGGAGCCTCTCCCTGCAGCATCTCTCCTACCCCAGACCTCCCTGCTCCTTACAGGAGCAGTCGTTACCTTCACTGCTGCTCCTGGGTGACCCATCCCCTTCTCTCTCAGGACTACACCCCTTGCCCTTCGGTTTGGAAATCCGGGCTGCTAGCATTCAAGGGGGAGAATTCGTTCCTGAAAGCTGGATGAGCAGCAACATCTGAAACCACAGGTTTTCAGCCCAGCTAGCCCTAGCAATAAGTTTGCTCATTTCATCCTCTTTCCAATTCCTACATATGCTCTTTTGTATTACAAGCCCAGCTCTCGCAAGCTACTTACTGACAGCATACAACTTTACAGCACAGAAGAGATCCCTCTGTTTCCCAATTATACATACATAAATTTAAAAGTACTCTGACTGTAAATTACTTCCATCAGCTGAACTAATTTCTAAGGGCGGCTGCAGCGATCTGAGAAGCTCCCCGTGGTACTGCGATGCCCGGCCACGCAGCCCCTGCAGCTGCAGTGTGAGACCCATACCAGCAGACGGCCCTGTTCTGAACTGCTCATTTACATTGCAGAAAGCTGGAAAAACAAGGCGAAGATCAGCATTAAAACGGGTATCTAAAGCTTCCACTGGGAATGATGCTCTACTTGTACCCTAGAAAACTGACAGTGAATGTTCATTTCATATTACTTTCATATTTTAGCAAAGACGTCACCCTAAGGAATTCCTCTAGAAATAAAAGAAATTAAAAAGCATATTATTTTTCAAGACTGCCTTATAAATACCCGATGCAGAATTACTCCATGTAAAAATACAACTCCTGGCCTCCCAAAATCCCTCAGTCAAATCTCCCTGCCAAATACCATCTGGGACGCAGACACCTATGCCAAGAGAAAAAAAAGAGTCTACAGATTCCCTCTTCAAGAGCAAGCCCGATTCTGTATGACCGTATAGATCACTCAGAAAGCTAATTCTGCTTACAAAGGAAATATCTCATCACTAAAAGATCTGTATGGTTAAGCTAAACCTTTTCCTGCAGCATTGACTGTGGATACAAAAGGATTGTTCTGTTTTGTTTTGCCTGTAAGTCAACAAAATGCTGTTTTCAACTTGTTTCCCCCGAGTTTTCATGACAGTTCGATTAACTCTGTGCAATTATTCCATGAAAGTAAATTTACTCTAAATGCCCTGGTAAATTTCTGGCAGTTCAGGGGAATCTCCCAGTTGGGACACATCAATCGAGAAGAACACCAGGTAAGTCAGAAACAGGGGGAGATGAAAATAACTCAGCCAGGGCGTGAGATAACGTAGCATCTGCAGAGCAAGAGGGTCAATGGGGAGTTCTTTATAACAGCCTTACTGTCTCAACTTGATAACCCTTATTTTCTCCTACTGTATTTCTAAAGGTATATGCCAGACAAACAGAACAGAGGAGTTCCAAAAAGCATGTATTCATTTGAAAGGAAATTGATAGAACAGTCCACAGCGAACTGTGCATGAAATAAGGCTGTTTCTGTGAGTACGGGGTGTTGTGAAACTTTCAGTTTGTTTAAAAATGTGCTTCTTGGATAGCATGCATCATGCAAGTAGTTGAGTAATTCTTGGAGTACTGAAATTATTCGTAATGCAGTTCTCAGGTGAAAAAGCAAAAAGATCTACTGATTTTGATTAATTGCTGTTCCTAGCTCCAATGGAGTTATACAAAATACAAATCAGATTGTTGTAATTGTATAAAGCCATAACAAACACCCTAAAATTTTATGAAAGCTACGTTCTAGAATTGGAACTGAAGTATCAGCCCTTCCTGCAAAAGCATACACTCCTCTTGCCTTTGGGTTGATCACGCTACAGAAGCCAACAATTGACATTGCAGCACGTTTTCTGCTCGCTTTGCTCCTTTTCACCTGACGGTCAGTCATTGCTAACAAAAATACGAAGGGTAATGCTAAACTTAAACAAATGGACTGACTAGTCTGAAGAGAGAGATTTACCTGTCAATGTCCAAATTAAAATCACACACATCCTGCAACCTTTCATATTAAAAACACAAATACTTAGAGAGAATTTAGACAGTGTGACCTATAGCATGGAATAACTAAAAGCCTTTCCTTAAGGGCAATATTAGAAGACCCCTTGTGGACCTGCCAGCAGAACCAGGCCTTTTTGTAGCTTCCTCCTCATTAGAGGATATTAAGTTCATTATGCTTTTCACTTTCGCCATCCCCAGAGCAAAATTATCCACTGAGATTTGAATATTTGGCTTCACCCTCCACTTTGCTTTTACAATTGGAAAAAATGTAAATGGCTGTAATCCGCTCTCTATTTTTTTTCTCTTGCAATTGAAATGTTCACATTAGCAATGTACAGTTGAAGATTCCTTTAATTCTAAGTTAAAAGCATTTGACGTAGAAGTGGCTACATTTTCGCAAAGCAGCTTTGCAGTTCCTGAGCCAATTAGGAGACACGGTGTGCTGTCTAATGAGCACAGAAGAGACGGGAGAGAGGCAGATCTCTGAGGTCATACATGGACTACACATTCTAAAAAGTGGTTCTTTTGCCTTTTGGTTTTAACCAAACTTGTTATTTTTTCATTTTTATCAGGAACCAATCTGTAAGCAACACAGATACTACTTGGGCCCTTTGGACCTGGTCTAAGAGATGACTAGAGCTCTGACCTGCAGGCCAGGGAAGTCAGTGCAAAGTTTCCCACCAGGCTTTGGCTCTGTTCCTCAATTTTTACATGCAAGAGTTAGATGCTACAAAATTACAGTAAAAAGCAAGTCTGAAATAAACTGTTGCTTAGCTGAAAAATGCTGCTTAGCCATGCTATCCCATTACTGACATCTAACAAAGAAAGGTGAAAGAGCACAGTGGGCTCACCACAGGCAATCTGATTCTGTCCGTGTTTTTTCCACCCTGATTCTGTCACTTGCCCCAGGGCTGTGCAAGAAGAGCTGATGAGAAGAGGTGCTGTCTAAAATCCAGTTCCCCGTCCTGCATGTCGCAGAACAACTGCAAGGCTGGTTTTGTACAGGCAGGCAAGGATGGAGTGTTTTCAGACCTTCATTTACCTGCTCTTGGGATCCCCAAGGCTGTTAAATGCTCTGACTCACAAAAGCAGTCCAACTGATTGGCTTAGCAGACAGGTCCAGTCCTGTAACCCCAGTTTCCTTTTCAAAGCTCCAGATGTATTTACTCTTTGTACAATGCTCCAATGCAAAATACGATTATTTTTAATTAGATGTCTGTTCTACTTTTCCTCACTTCCTTCCCCCATTTTCAAATTTACCAGCAGAGGCTCATGTAAAGCAGGTCCTTTGAGAACTGTATTAATTTTGTAAAAACAGTATTGTTCTACAAAGCTGCTCTGCAACTTCAAATAAAATGGTTACAGCAGGTCATTACTATAGTTTAGCATGCAATAGCAGTTAGAAATACAGAGCGTACATACTAGCATACACACTAGTATTTTAAATGACTGCTAGAACAGGATAAAAGGGACATCGTCAAGATAAAAGCTGCAGGTATTTAAAATTACTAAACAAACCACAAGGTTTGTTTCCATTACATAGTGTGTTTAGGCGGCAAGATGCTAGCAGCATAATCACGTTTATTTCTTGCTCCCTCTCCCACTCACTGTTTGCAGGGTTTCAGCTATTTACATTGGTGGGAGAGTTTGAAATCTAGAATGAAGCAGTTGTCAAAGACACTTTTAGAATATAGAAAATATAAATAACGTTATGGAAAATATGCAGGAAGCACTTTGAATAGTGACAACTTTGCATTTCATTCTTATCACTCTGCCAGACACTTAACTGCATCTTCCACTTATCCCAAGCACTACTTTTAGCTTTCACTGAAAATCATTCCCATTCAGCAGCAAAAATAAGCTTTTCCCTTTCAGTCAGCCTAAGCCTGCTTTGCAGAGGGACAACACTTGACAATGCTGTTCTATTTCATCAGGTGGGAACTTGAAGAGAAGTCTTTGCAATGACAAAATTAACAGGGATGAAAATTTACACTTTGAGAACGTGGTATATGCTCGTGCTGGCACTACATCTGAACACTGCTGAAGATTTCCAGTGGACAAAGATTAATCCCAGCTCCTTCTATTACGGCACTTTTCCACCTGGTACTTTTCAACTACAGTTGACTGTGATTTTTATAATGCTCTAGATTGACCAGTGCTATGCAAAAATATTTATACACACACACAGTTTCATTCAACCAAAACCAAAACTTAAAAAGATTTGGTTTTCTGATTAAGGTTTTTTATATGGATTTTATATGGATTAATCATGTCCTTTTGCACAATACTAGGAAAAAAAAAAAAAGAATCTCTTTAGATATTTATGGTAAAAACAACTAAACTTCTCACCAAGAGCATAAAAAGCAGCAGGCGTAAATAACATAAAAACATATTTTTTTCTTACTCTAAGCCACTTCTACCATCCCATCAAAGCACTACTTCAGCACTATAAAATAATAGTAACACAGCTCATTAAATGAAAAATAGATCACTTCTTCAGGGAAAGAGCAGTTGGGCCAGCAAAGTGTTTGAATTGTAACTCACTTCTTCTTACCCTTAGGCTTTTCATGGGGCGTTGGAAGTTCTGCGTATCAGACTGAAGGGGCCTGGGACATGGACGGGAAAGGACCAAGTATCTGGGATGCTTTTACTCACACAAAAGGGAAAGTGTTCAGAAATGAAACGGGAGATGCAGCCTGTGATGGCTACTACAAAGTTCAGGTATCATTAAGGAGAACTATCCCTCTAGAAACCTTCTGCAGCCATTTCATGACACTGATTTCCCATTTAGAACTAACAACTAAGATGCAATATTTTGGTTGTTCTCCAGCCACGCTGTATTAAGACAGATAAATAACTTAAGAGTTATTCTGCTCGGATATGACATATGCTAACTGGACTTTCTTTTCATAGGATGACATTCAGCTACTGAAGGAGCTTAACGTTAATCACTATCTACTCTCTATCTCATGGCCTCGGATTATGCCCACTGGCATCAAAAGTAAGCACAACAATTTCACCATACACTTACCAGTAGTAATAGACAAGCAATTTTACTTCCAAGTAAACCATAGTTGTATTTTTTTCCAGCTTAGAAAGCAGTCCAGGTAATTTCTTGTCTGTGTGCTTAATCAGCAGAACTGAATGAGAAAGGAATACAGTTCTACAATGACACAATCAACAGTCTTCTGGAAAGCAGCATTATCCCCATCGTGAGCCTCTACCACTGGGATCTTCCACAGGTTAAGACAAATTGGTGAAATGTCTAATGAAATGTTTCTGATAGGAAATCTACTTCTACGTTTATGGACTACAAATGCATTAGAAAAATGCTTAAAGATGCTTGCATGGTTTTAAGTGTGCTTATAGTTAATTTTATTCATTTGTATTGCTGTATTATTTATATTCCAGTAGCTCTGAAGAAAAGTCTTTGTTATTTTGAAACTGAACTTTAGATAACATTACTGATTGTTGATACTCATATTTTTGAAGGTTCTCCAAGAAAAGTATGGTGGCTGGCAAAATATAAGCATGATAAATTATTTTAATGATTATGCCAACCTATGCTTTGAAAAGTTTGGTGACCGTGTGAAGCACTGGATTACTTTTAGCAATCCATGGGTAAGTTATCAATGCTTTCCTTCCAATCACTTCAGTTGCTCAGTTCTGTTCCCAAAAGTCTGTGGAAGGGACACTACAGAAAAGTAGGTTAAAAATTGTAGCTTAAAATGATAGACAGATGGATAGATAGTCTTCTGTAAGCAGTCTTTGTGCCCAAAAATCAGTTTCAACCAGTACTGAGTTTCAAGACACGTGAAATTCCAGTGAAGTTTTGAAAAGTCATCAGCTAAGAGGAGACAGGCACAGAAACGAGAAAGGCAGTTGAAATGGGTGCAGGGCAAGCTACATCAGACAACAGCAAGCTGGCAAAGCAGTCCCTATGGCTGGTCAGCAACACATTGTTTCCAACAAGCTGCAGCGTACCATCAGCCAAGCAGTAGGACAGTAGACAAAAGACAAGGGCAGGAGAGGGAAAAAGGGGCCTGGAAAGGACGGAGAGATTAAGAGACAGATGGTCTAAATCCATAGGATGTTAGCAAATTCATTAACTGCAGTGTTCAATGAATAACTATTTCTATGTATTTGTAGGCAGTTGCCGAAAAAGGTTATGAAACAGGAGAGCACGCACCAGGACTGAAGCTCGGTGGATGTGGAGCGTACAAAGCAGCGCACCATATAATTAAAGTAAAATTAGAGTTGCACTTTAAATTATGTGTAAATTGAAAATTATTAGCAGACTGATTAAGCTTTTGATCCTGCTCTTTAAACAGAAAGATAGTTTAGTAATTATGTCATTTCCAACTAGCATATCAAATGCATTCAGTAGCTGAGGTAACCAAGTTTTAGACCACCAATGCACACTCAGGTGTAGCAGGCAGTCAGAGGTGCTCGATGTGACACTGTTGCAACAGCTCAGACTTTCCTTGTAATTTAAACGTCCCTTCGAAACATCCTGTAAAACTGGTTGAATAAGAAAATATCTAGGTTACTCTAGAAACAAGGAGTAAAATCCTGGCCTAGTGAAATGAACTTGAATTTTGCAAGTGACTTCAGTGAAGCCAGCTCTCACAGAAAAACTTTCACTTCCCTCAGTAAATTAGACAAAGACATCCAAAGACCAGAGATGCTGGAATGCTGTATTGAATGCTATTACCTTTACAAGGACCTTAAGGAGTTTAGGGAAGAAATATTGCAGCAATGTTTTTTTGATATCTTCAATGAAATGAAAGCTTCCACAATATACATGAAAGAAATGATGCGATACTTTCTGATGTACCTTAATGCAAAAGCTTCTCTCCATCTTCGGTGTCTCTCTATACTTACTGTGTGACTGTATTTTACCCCTTTTTTCCCCCTCTAATTCTTACAGAGTCATGCAAAAGTTTGGCACTCTTACAATAACAGTTGGCGTAGTGAGCAGCAAGGTAATAAACGTTCATTCTGTAATTATGCTTCTATTTACAGTAAGGGCTTAATGATTATGCATCAACTGCAGAATTGTCATTTTGTTTTTAAGGTATGGTTGGAATTTCCCTAACCACTGGCTGGGGTGAACCCATTGATCCTCACAGCCAAGCAGACATCGATGCAGCTGAAAGATACATACAGTTTCACTTGGGATGGTTTGCAAATCCAATTTACAGAGGAGACTATCCAGAAGCGATGAAAAATTATGTAGGTAAGCCTCAGTAGCCCACTATGACATGAACAAATCACACAATTACAACATCTAACAATGGAATACCCCTAACCAACGTGCACTTTAGTCAAATATGAAGACAAAGGTAAGATGAAGCTAACCAATATGGGCTAGACACATCCCCTGAGTATTCCAGGGGGACATAACAGAACTAAAACAGTTTAACTGCTGTTGAGCTCAACAGTTGCCCATCTGAGTGTCCCAGTGAATGACTGGAAGGGAAGCAACAGTCTTTTCAGCAATAGCCTGTTTGCAGTGGTCTAACCAGGACTGGGAATTACTAGGTATTTTCAGTATTTCCTACCTAAGCACAAAAAACCTGCAGAATTTTTCATCGCTAAAAGCTTACATTTCTCCAGGACCCCACTATTTCACAGATAGAAGAAGATAAGTGATGCATCTAGCATTCCAAAGTATTTCCTTCCTCATCGCATTACATTTCCATGCTCTTTGAAAAAAACAGCACATGAATTCACTGTCCTCTCCATGTACTATACCTGACTTATTTCTGCAAACCAAAAGGAAGACCATTTATTTCACCTAAAGGAAAAAGCAAGCAAACTAAACTGTCCTCTACACTAAGTTCTGGGAAAACATATTTATTGTTTGTCATTTAAAGAAAACAAGATTCTGTGCTGCTCAGAAATATGTTTCCTGTATTTATTTTGATAGGTAGGAGGAGTGCCCAGCAGGGCCTGGGGACATCAAGGTTACCGACTTTCTCAGTGCAAGAGAAAATTTATATTAAAGGCACATCGGATTTCCTGGGAATAGGCCATTTCACTACCCGGTATGTTACACAGAAGAGCTTTCCATCTCTACAAGTGTCCAGTTACCACATGGACCAGGATCTGGCAGAACTGGTGGACCCAAAATGGCCAGCTCCAGGCTCGAAGTGGCTATACTCTGTGCCCTGGGGATTCAGAAGATTGCTCAACTTCATTAAGGTAATTACAGAGTAAATCTTTAAAAAGAACAAGAAGTCTGGTTTCAAGCAGGAGCTTCACCTATATAGTCACCTACTTAAACTGGCAAGTTTCTTTTTTGCCAAGAAACTTCATTTCAGTTCAGAGCAATAGAATTCAATAATTTTAAAAGTTAAATTCCTAGTTAGACGTTCTTCTTATTAAAGATAACTAAGTAGATCTAGAAAAATAGTTGTAAAGCATTTTAGAAAGAATTTAATGTTCTGTCAAAGTGATTTTATTTCTACAATCCAATTTAAAGACAGCTCTGTTTGCAGACACAGTATGGGAACCCTCTCATTTATGTGACAGAGAATGGAGTTTCAGAAAAGGTACAGTGCACTCAACTGTGCGATGAATGGCGGATAGAGTATCTGAAAGGATATATTAATGAAATACTAAAAGGTAATTTTAAAAGCATGTTTTTCACTTTTTAAAAATCTCTTATAATTTACATCATAGAGAAATAAATATTCACAGATCAGACCGGACAGCAAACTAGACTACTAAATTCTTTCACAAAAGTCACACAACCTGACTAAATGTACTCGTGCTAATAAATACAATAACCTACATGAGGTCAAATACTGTAATAGAGCATCAGTTTCGGTAGAAAGGAGAAATTGCACCTAATTATCATACTTAGGGAGCTCTTCGTACCTTTAAGCTAAAGAAAACACTTCCAGAGGATTTAAATTATTTTCTACTTTGTCATTTTTCTGTCCTCCACCCCTTCCTCCTGCCCTGTCCCCACCACCTCTCTCCTTCTGCTATAAAACAAAACACCCACAGAGCCATATTTTAAGGAAGATAAACATAGGCAAAAAGTTTAACAGAATAATTTGTGTTCTGTTTACAGCTCTCAATGACGGTGTTAATGTAAGAGGCTATACTGCCTGGTCTCTGTTGGATAAGTTTGAATGGAACAAAGGTTTCTCTGAAAGATTTGGATTTTATCACGTTGATTTCAAAAACAAGGACAAACCACGATACCCAAAAGCATCTGTTGACTACTATAAAAATATTATTAGCGCAAATGGCTTCCCAAATCCAAGAGAGGTAATGTCCATCACGCTTTTTCGTGTGCATGTGTGTGCTGTGTATGGAAACTATCACACAACTTCATGAAACAACTTGCATGACCATGGCCCATGAAATTTGACGCTGTGGTATTGTACTTTAGGGATGTGTTATATACTTATGCTTGCAGAGTGGAAAGGGCCTCAATTACTGTTTCAAAGGCATTACCATTTGGACTAAATTATGTGACAAAACTTTTGAATTGCAAGTTAACAGTACTTGGTCAGGTTTCTATGCAAAAAATTACAGATACATGTACATGATACTTAGCTGGAAAGTAACATGGAATGGTATGTGCTTTTTTCTTTTTTTTAATTAAACAACTAAAATGCATTCAAAAAAAATAACAAAGATGCGTAGAAACTTTCAGAAAATCATGTATTCACAGAGTAAAATACTTTAAAGTGAATTGTAGTGGACAAATGTTCAGGGACCAAGAAGAAGCTGCTGTGAATAAGACAGAAAATTGCAGTCTAACGGATCTGCTGCGTGTCAATCTTCTCAGGTGGAAAACTGGCATCAAAAGGCCATGGACACTTGTTCTATCACACACCAGCTCCTTGATGCAGGTAATTATGTTTATTATTTCCCTTGAAAAATCAAAGGAACAGTAGTATACTGCTCATGTACTGAAGCTCATTCAAGGTAAGCCGAACTTTAGCAGCCCATTGAGCACTGACATCTTAAAAATTTTTCCTTAGAAACAGAAGATGAAAATATGTTATGGATTTGCTCCAGCTTTTACAGAGCAACAGAAATGTTTGTTTTATTTTACTTGTTATTTATGCTAATGTCAACATATGACAAAATAATTTTAGGTTAAGGATTTTTTGAATATTTATGGATATCTCTAGCCTAACAATGAGTGAAGATGAAGTTTCTTACATATTATTCATTTCTCAAATTTTAGATTCCTTGGTTACTCATATGGAAATGGTGACAGAGATCATTCTTCCTACAATTTTCACGCTCTGCATACTCATCAGTATTGTCCTACTGCTCTTCTTCCTTCAAAATCATAGCTAAAATTGCACACTTGGACACATCTTCATCTTGCATAATACAATGCAACTGTTTTATTATATTGTTTAAATCTTACCACAAATGCCTCTTTTTGTACCATTGTAAAGGTGCAGGAATATTACTTTACCTGTCCACATAGCACTGCTTCTAGGTTTTTTCTACTTAATTCTCAAAATCATTTCGAAATTTTATGAAAACCCAAAGCACATATTTTTTCTGCATAATTTTCTACAAATTTTAAGTAGATTTTGTTTCTTGTTATTTTGGAAACTATTATATATTTTGTTCACCAGAACAATAGTTAGCTAAGTATAAGGCAACTCTAAACTTGTCACTACAAATTTCAAGTGATTAAAAACTATTTTATTGTTTATATTTTATTTATTAAAAACTATTCTGTTTTCAATCTGTTCATCATCACACTTCTAATTATCATGTAGCTGCTATTTGAAGAGATAAACACAACTGTAAAATGGAAGGGGACATTAAGTATTCCAATAGCACTGCTTAAATATTAAATTCTTATTTCATGTCTAAACGTTAGGACAATATATGCCTTACTATTTAGGTGTGGAATAGAATTAGTTGAAGTGATTTATCAAAGATAACTGCTGTGTCAGATTTAAATTAAAGAATCTATTTTTTTTTAATAGGGAACTAGGTTTACCTCATACAACAATATATTTTATTGCACACAGAAGTATGTAACATAAGTAATCGAAGCCACTTCCAGAATATAATATTCCACTACAAATTCACTCAAGTAGGTACAAGTTAAATACATGATTAAAAAAATAAATAAAATGCTTCAGATTATGGCCAGCTGGCTACATTTGTCTTTGGTGTTGTGCTTGAAATCACTCCTCTAAAGCAAACCAACAAACTAGTTTCCAACTTAGCTTTCAATACAGCTTCAGCAGTGCTGTACATATTCTGAACACAGTAGCAGCCATATATACAAAAAGGAACTCATTCTTAGCTTCTATTCAAAGGCATTAACTATTAAATTGATAGTTATTCTTTTAAGATGCAATATACTAAAGAAAGGAGTAAGAAATAAAAATATATTTTTTTTCTGAGGAGAAATGAGAAATGGTAGATGCTTCAGTTTTTAAATGCATTAATAAGGTTTTTCTTATTCTTACGTATCAATATTTAAGAGTTTTTCAAGCAAATACTTCCCTCTCAAATTAATCAGCATATACTATATAATTGTTTAGTTATAATACCAAAAGGTTACATACTGTATCTTATTAATGCACGACCATATGTAACTGTCAGTAATTAATCCCAACGCATTTAAGTGATTATGTTTAATCAGCTATACTCAGTATTTCTGAAGAAAGTAATGTAAAAGCATATATGACACCATCTAAAGTAATTCACTCTGCATTAAGAGAAAAACTGAATACAAGCAGCAGAAATAAGTATATCCAAGATAACTCCAAAGTATAAATACAGGGATGAGGAAAACCAAGCTGTCAGAAGTTCATGAGGCCCTTGATGAACAGCTTTCCAAATATATTGGAATGATGAAATATCACTTGGTACCAGAAAAATGTGACAATATTGCTTGTTTTGTAAAAACCAAAATAAAATTTTAAATCCCAAAGTGTAGAACTTTATTGAACGTTTGTAAATTTGTGAACCAAAATATCTACCATATTTTCAAAAGTAACATTCATACTGTACATTCATAACTGCACAATATTTACAAACTAGACGGGTACAAATGAATTATGGCTGCTTATGTCACAAGAGTATACTAAAGCAAATAACTCAGTAAGATGTATTGTTCTTCAAATCAGAGAATGTTGCTAAATATACTGAACTTTCCCCTTTACTGTACCTTTTCAGTGCCTGCCTGGAGAGTAACAGCTATTTATGTGAAATGCACCTGACTGCAATTAGTCATTGTAATAAAATACATTCTTTCTTCAGTGCTTCCATTAACTGTAGAGTCGCACAAGAGACCTGCAGAGATGAAAGATAACGGTTAGCCAGTGTATTTAGTTCATGCAGTAATTTTGAAAACAGTTCTTGAAGCTAAATTTTAGCAAAAGCACTTCATGACAAAAATTGAGAAAGATAGGAAAGCTTTACCAAAGCATTACTCTGTAACAAATCTCCTCCACCCAAGACAAAGAGGCAAACCATTTCTATACCAGTCTATATTCTAAATTTGTCCCTGACTTTATGCATTTTCACTTATCCTATGTTTGATTTTATGAAGCAAGGCATGCCTTCTCTCCTTAGTGCCTGTTTGCATCTCAGGCTAGAGGCCAGCATTCAGTAACAGGTAAGTTTCTCTTCAAACCCATCCTCAGATACACTGGCAAAGATTTTAAAAGTTGTAAGATACTGTGGCGAATACTGAACAATCATGTCATATTTAGAACTCTTCTGTCATTTTAACTCTAAAAACATAACTCAGCGAAAGTAAGAAGGCAGGTCACAACTTTCTGAAAATCTTTCAGATGCCACAGATACCATCTCACATTTTTATTAAAAAAGCAAATGCTGTTTCAGTTTTGCTGAAGATATAAACAAGGAAAAGTATAGACCACTGAACACAGTATAAAAACTGAATTTCTTTTAAAATGTCTACTTTCATTATTTCCTTTCACCATACATGTTCCTTACCTATATTGTTTGATATCATATGTTCCACAGGAGGACTAGTACTAACTTGCCATGTTGTTTTAACCTCCTTTTGGCCGTGCCCACTACTTATGTCCACCTTCCATATTTCTGGGTGATCACTGACAAAATAATCAAAAAATGTTAAAATTTAATTAGGTATTCAGATCTGAATTTACAATCTGAATTTTAATGCTATTGATTAATTTTAAAACACAGAAGATTATCTTACTTTTCATAGAACTTCTTGACGAGAGCTGGCCTGATTGGCAGTTGAAACACATGCTTCTCATTTAGAGGGTTTTCCTTATAATATTTCAGACAAGTTCTAGAATAATATAAATCAACTAGTTATAAACGTTCTTTGGAGAAATACTTGTGTGACACGGCATAAGCCTTGTCCAAAATTAACTAGATCCTCAGGTTTTATAATTTCATTCGTTTTATCAATTTTAATCACAAACCAAAAGTTAGTAAGATCCAGCTTCTGCACTCAATCAGGAGGGTTGCTTTTTTTTTTTTTTGAAAGTTTCTTTACAAATTATTAAGAATTTATTTGCTAGTATTATTGAAAAGTAAAGTAAAATGAAATAATTACTGTGTCAAAGGGAAGAGGTTCTCATGTTTAAACTGAAGTAAGACTGTACAGCTGACCATTATTTCCAGCATATGGTGAAGCTTTTGAACACGATGAACTTGTTCTTGTAGATCTACTGATTGTGGAAATGAAGTAATCCTGGAACAGCAAACAGTTTCCACTCTTAACTAGACACTCAATTTCTACAGACACACAACATGCTCTCAGTTTACTAAAAACATTTTCTCACTTCTTTTGAAAAGCAAAAATATGAAGAATGGCCCAACAATCAGAATAAAGTCAGAACTATACTGCCTGACAACAACTCATACCAGATACCTAGGAAATAATGTATAATTCAGGAAACAACATAGTGACATTTTTGCAGAATACTGTCCCATCCTTATTGATTTGCAATTCAGTTACTTATCAGAAAGATGACCTGCATCCCACCATCAGCTACGTGTGCTGTACTTTACGAGTTAAAAGTAAAGAAACTCACCAAATAGGTTAATGTTGCAAGTTCCTGGCCTGTAAAGTGAACAGGAAAAAAATTACCTCACATTGTCAGATGACATACAAGCAACATTCAGGCAATCTAGCAGGGAATTTCAAAAACAAAACAAAACGGCAGTCATTAAGATACTAAGATTGAAGATGTTATTTATTTACAATTACTCATTCAAAACAAGAAAAAAACCTGCAAAGTGGCATTGTCTTACATACCACCAGAGCTGCAGAAACATGGAAACACAATGTAGAAACCTAGCATATACTTTGAGACAATCAGCCTCCTAGAGACATACAGATTTACACACAGCAAAAATGAGCAAGCAAATTAAAGAAAGAAAACAGTGTGACAAAGCAAAGAAGAAATCAAGAAATGAAGACATGAAGGAAAAGGAAGTGGATAACACCAGTGGTAAACATGACACCCCTCCCAGATTCAGAAAAAATAAACCTGTATATACTGAAAGTATATACTGAAACCTGTATATACTGAAAACAAAGCCACAATGTTTTCAAGAAAAAAAAATACTTTACAAAAATCATTTCAACCTAGTTTTTGTTTTGCGAATAAAATATGTACAAAAAAATATCTAATTACTACAGACCATACAAACACAGCTATTACAAACACCCTTGCCTGATTTCTTTTTAACTCTTGCAGACCGCAGAAGAAAAGACAAAAAGAGCATGAAGATCTTATTTTATTGCCTACAGAAAACAGATAAGAAAAAACATTCCTGCTACATAAGTCTGATATCATTTTACTCGAAGTAAAACCTCGAGATTTTTTCAATTAGAAAATCAATTAGAAAAAGAAATACACAGCTTTGCTAAGTGTAGGTATTTTGAAACATATTCATTTTTTAAGTTTGGAAAAATGTATACAACTGGAAGTACAAATAGCAAGGATACTGGAAGTGGACATTCAGCAGATGGCAGCCAGAAGTGAGATCAAGGTTACCACAGACTTCATTATTTCACAGAATGGCTCAGGTTGGAAGGGACTTTAAAGGTCATCTCGTTCCAACCCCCTGCTGTAGGCAGGGATGCCACCCACTAGATCAGGTTGCCCAGGGCCTCATCCAGCCTGGCCTTGAACACCTCCAGGATGGGGCATCCACAGCTTCCCTGGACAACCTGTTCCAGTGCCTCACCACCCCCTGAGTGAAGGATTTCCTCCTAACCCCTAGTCTAAATGTCCCCATTTTTAGTTTTGAAAGTAGTGAAAGTAGTTTTTTAAGTACTGAAAAGCTGTCACGAAGAGACGCAGGAGCCTTCTCTTCCTCAGGCTGAGCATCCCTGGCTCTCTCAGCCTTTCTTTATACATGCTCCCTGGTAATCTCCATATCCTGCACCGAATAACCTTTTCCCTTGAATTTCTAATCATGTTAGCAGATAATACGCTTACCTATGAAAAAGCTGATGTAATCCTTCTTCATCTTATCCAAACCGATCTCCAGAAGCATTTGAACTGGAGTGATGCCACTGAGGGAAACGGCCTTCATCTTGCCATGGTAAGACTGCTGAATCAATTTACTCAGCAAACTGCTACTCCCTTGGTGAATCTAAAAATTTTAAGAGTTTTATTATGTTGTAGCTGTGTACAAAACCTCATAATACTAGAAATACAACACCAAGGAAACAAACTGTAACATGCAAAAGTACTTAAAAGCAACGTAACGTGGAAATAGGGGTCAGCTAAACGAGAAGAATCATGTTCTTCAAGCAACTCAAATGGGTAAAAATTCATTGTGAAATACAGATACATACCCATGGCTGTACTTCACCATGTTCCAGGGATTTTATGATCAATGTGAAACACTCTACCAACTCCTGATAGGAACTGACACCTTAAGAAAAATGATGCAATATTTTATTTATCAATGCTGGCTTTCCCTTCAGCTGTTAGATCAGTAACAGGCCAACGCATACTTGAAAAACTGAACTGCTCATTTTAAAAATGATGACTGAAATGACAGATTGCATTGCTTTTTGTTAAGTTTGTCATACTATGACTTTGAATGGGGTTACTCTAAGGAACGACGGTGGCTGCAATACTAGGAATGAAAGGAATTTTTAAAAGTTATGTACACCAAACCCACAAACAGTAAGGAGTTGGTCTAATCTCTTGGACGGTGTAACAAGCCAATTAGTAATCTGAAAATATTGTAATAAAATGTATCTTACTGAAGCACTGTGAGTGCTATTACAAGGATAATAAAGTTTGTGTGCAGCTTCATCAACTTTAAAAGCTAGTCCTTTAGATCTAGAAGAACAATTTTGTAAGTATTTTATTTAAGTAGACACTTCTAGAGCTGATGCGTGCTATTGCTTATTTAGTACCTTTTACAATCAAAAAATAAATAAATACAGTATCTCCTGCTAGATGTTGGTTTATCTTCATATGTTGTAAGAAAGTACATCATCTTACATACCTAAATTTAGCTCTTTTAGAAAAAGCCTGTTGGTAAAAATTTTCTGAAGAGCTGATCAGCCCTTAAAACTCAGAGACATTTACATTCATTTCATCAAGAAAGCAATACAGTATAACAGGTACACAGAAGAGAAGAATTAAAGGGCAATGGATGGGGTTAAGAAAGAAAAAAATCTACTTACTTCTCATTTTGCACCATAATTGTTCAGCAAAATCCAGGCCTCCTCGTTCACTGAAGATTGATTTCATTGAACTATCCACAGCAGCAGTGTCAGATTTGATATTCTGAAAGAGTTTAAGTAAAAAAGTATGCCTAAAATTCAAAGGCCTTATAAATTCAAACCCCCTCCAGAGATTAAATTTGGGCGCGCAACTGATTTTTCCCCTCTTTCATCCAGGGAACGTACTCCATAGAAGCTAGCACTGTACAATAATTTGGAAGTATATTTTTATTGAAAAGTAAAATTAATTCTTTTCAGGTTTACCACCCTGGATAATTGCTAGGTTTAGACCAGGAAGTGAAGCCTACTGTTGGAAAGATTTTTTGATCATAGCCAAGTAAAGACTGCCTTGTAAAAAACACCCACTTAGCTCAAGATGATCTTTTTCAATTTACAGTGGCATGCTGCACATAGCATCAGTAAACAGCCAGAACACAGACCAGCAAAGTAGCATAGACCATATTTTGTGATAGGATACTAAACTCACAGATGATTAAATAACCACTTATGTATATATATACACGTATATATATACATATATATATATATATATATAGTGGTTAAAAGGGAAGGGAAAGAAGCATGAAGGTACAGCTCTAGTACCTCAGAGACTGCTACTGAATGCTAAGTTTTATCAAAAATATGTTTAACGGACACTGGTAGAACATTTAATATTAAAAAAAAAGGTTTTTTTGAAGGTAAAAATTATAGTGAACTTATTAGAGGGCAGCTACGGAACTTTGAACTTTATTTTTTTTGTCCATTATTCTTAAACAGAAAAAAAAAAGCAAGAGATCTTTCGTTATTTCTTTATGTCTATGCATCTACATATATGCCTAAATAATATACAAGACACAATGAAAACTCAGAATAACTACTTCACAGTGGAACAAGGTGACACAAACTGGTAGGAAATTGCACATACCTCTGTTCCATTCTCATTTCCTGATGTACAATATACATCCAGTTTCTTTAGATCTAGTAGAGGAGAAAATAAAAGTCACCACTATGAAAAAAATATAGTCGAACCAACTGCATAAATCCCCTGGTACTCTGTAATTAACAAGCACTTTAATGGGTGGCTAATAGACAAAATGTATCCATTTTTAATTTTTTTTTCTACTGAAAATTATTTCTTAATATGTTTATTATAAGATACACATTTTTCCTGTATATCTTTACTACATTCTTGTAGCTAAGCATTAACTCCTTAAATTCCAGTGATGAAGAAATAAAGGTTAACCAGTGGTCTAATAATCGTCTCTGGCTTTCTTCCAAATTTATTTGTCAGAGATTGTTTTTGTCTGTTTCTCTAAGTTCTATACAAAACTTTCTGGAAAATATACTGTCACATGTGAAAACCTTTTGGTGTGTTCCTACATCTGATTTTCTTTTTAGATTCATTTTCTAATATCTTAAACTTCTGATAGCAGAATTTCATAGCATTTTTCAGAAGAAATCAGTAATTTTGGGTGCTTTATTTCAAGATATCAAACTACTGTTCTCCACCACCACTCACTGGGACATTTTGCACTTTTAATGCTCGTACGCATGTTAAGTAACTTGAAAGATGCACCCAAAACTTGTCCAATTGTTTTTTAAACATAGTTCTCATTTTATAAAGAAAAAAAATATATTTATTTTTTACAAGGTATTGGGACAAAGAAAATTTCAGAGATGTACTGATTAACCTATTTAACTGCTCTGTGCAGGCTATTTCAGAATAGAAATTACAATCGCTAATTCTAATACTTTAAAAATTAAGTATGTGGAATTTCCTTTGCTTCTGTGAAATCTGGCCTTCCTCTCTTCCCACACAACAAACAGAAATTACCAGTCAGAAATCCTTGGACCAGTTCAAAAGCTGACTTAGACTCTAAGGACTCAGGCCATTCAGTCACACCTGTCTTCAAACCTTCAGCCAAAGTCTAAAAGAAGCATCAAAAACAAAACACAAAACAGTTCTTGTTTAAGGTTCTGCATAGGTCTTTCTTCAAAATGTAGTTAACTTCTCCCAGAATCATACATCCCTGTACAGCTAACTATGAATTTTGAAAATTCCCAGATTTCCTCGCTTTGCAATTCACAATTTGTGCTCTGTGTATTCCAGATTCCTGAAACTGAATTCAAAGTTTATTCTGAACTAAATACTTAAAGATATCTTTGAAACACCTGATGGAGATTTAAAGAGTAAATTATTAACACACAAAGTCACCATTCCACATACATCTGAAATTGGAATTTCTCATTTATACTTACAAGGAGAAACTGCAGTTCTCTATACAGCGGATATACAGGACTCCTGGGATCCCCAGACTCCAGTGAAATATTCTGAAAGTTCCAGAAACTTATGTCAGACTCAAGCTTTAGAAATCAGGTGTGCTAAGATTTTCATTAGGGAAATACAGATTAGCATAATTAACAGTTTAGCCTACGAACACACTGTATTGCTTATATAAAGATTATATCATATAAATAATAAACACAAATGGCAAGAGTCAAACAGATTTTCTATTCTTTACGTTATTCACGATATAAGCAGTGGAAAGAGTTTGAGCTCCTTGACGTACCAGTGTGGCAGCTGCAGTAAGTGGGGGTGGCTGCAGAATCTTATCTACAGTATTCCACGTAATGTCAATAGATATATTGCTTTCAGATTCTACAATTGTGTCCTCTATTGCAGCAGCTCTAATAAGTTCATACTGAGCAAATCCTTTTGTTGTCACCTAGAATAAATAGATTTAAAAAATTATTAAGAAGCGCAACATCATTTGGTACCCACACAAAATATTTTGGAAGTATTTCACACACAAAAAAAATGGCTAATGTGAGATATACTATGTAATATAAGGAGCCCAAACATCACATCAAAATAGATTATGATACTATAGGGTTATGCTGAGTTTCTAAATAACATCTACAAAGCTTCCCAAAACCAGTATGATAAATGCAAATACAGAGCTTTTAAACTGGAGGCATGACAGACCATAGAAACCTACAATAGATGAATGGTGTTTGACTTTATGTGCCATTTTGAGTTCCTCTAGGTTTGCAAAACAGGTTTTATCAGCTGTAGGACCTGGAAAAGGAAAAATGTAAGAATCAAAAAAAAAGAACCAGTTGCAACATGATGCAAGTCATACCTGCCATGCAGAATTAACGTTCAGACATTCTATTTAGACTCATTTTGTCCTTCACAAAGCTGTCATTTCTCTTGCATCTACTCCACTGACAATAAAAGCTGACGTTAATATTTAAATGTTTAGTAAGAGTCAGTGCTAGATGATTGCACCTGACTGAAGGTAGGCCTGCACAGATACTGCTGCAGTAAGTATATTTAAAAGTTATTTCCCAGACTGCATGGCAGACAGACATCTTTCTCCTTTCTTTCACCAAAAATAAAAAGAAAACCCACACATACCCACAAACAACAAGGGAGCAGTACCAAGCCAACATCACAGAAAGGCATAATCCTTGTATTTGTATTCCCATATTCTTAAGCCTTCCTCACTCAATTTTATGCGGAACATCATAATCTTACCGTTACATGTAACCATATAAATATTGATCCCTGTGATTTTGTTTCCAGCTTTGAGAGGCTCAGCTCCAAGCCAACGAGTACACTCTGGATCAGAGCCATCACACCTTATCCAGAGGGGAGGAAGCACAACCCGCTCACTTGTCTTCAAATGGGTCATGTTTGGATTTTGTGCCATTGTATATAAGGAAATCAACTGCCTAGAGATATGAACAGGAAAGAATCAGATGCCAGCAAGTATAACTAAATCCTTCTCTTACATAAAACTTTGAATAATACATCAGTAACACTTAACTTTTATCTGCTCTGCCTTGCTTCATCAGTACACATTAAATCATTTTACATAAAGAATGCAGTATCTTCTTTTTCCAGGTAGAGCAATGAAGTCATGAAAAAAAGTAAGACATAACTGATAATATAGTTAATACAATACTTTAATTTACACTAACAATTCTGAAACTGTAATTGAATTTTACATTTGAAGTGTTTTAAAAGGATAAATTAGTTAAGCAAACTCATCACCATGCTTTGATACCACGCCTTGTATTTTAATAACAGTCAAAGATTAAATCCCAATGAGATTTTTTAAACAGAACTCCTAAAAAAAACAAGAATTTAAGTCTTACTAAACTTTCTTTGTGCATCTATGCTCAGGCAGTCCCATTAACAGAATGGGACAGGCCACAAGTGCTTTTCCAATACTTGGTCTTTAGTTACACTTTACTAGGAATACTTCTACCAGGGGAGGTCATTTTGCAGATTGAAAAATGCTCAGCTCATCATTAATCTGATGTGTAATTTAATTTTGAGGGATCAAAAATAACTCATGTGCTGAATATTAGCAAGAGATACAAAAGGTAGGAAAAAATAAAAAAAGAAGTTACATTGAAATAAGTGGATGGAGGCAGACCTTTGAGCACTTACTTTGCCCTTCTAACAGAAAGAGCGACTGGTCCAGCACTCTCCTTTGGTAAAAGCTCAGAGGCATAAAGAGCATCATCTGATTTTGATTCTTCCATTGAGTCACCTCCCTCATTGTGGTCCTTTAAGAGAGTCTAAAAATACAAGGTATATGGAAATATTTGATGGGAATAAATTAAAAACTTGCTATTACATTTAAAAGTTTAACAAATGGCATATACACTTACTGCTTTTTGCAAAATATACACCATACTGTTTCCATTCCAAAATCTTTCAATGGGACTTTTGCAACCACGACCAATCAAACAGATCTCTACATCATTCTGAAAGAAAAAGAAAATAAAAATAATATACTACATGTAATTGATGTATTTCAGCACCTTTATAATACTTCAAATTGTAAAATTAAATAATTAATTAAATATTTTTCCAACTCCATTCATGAATCTAAGGTTTTCTTACTTCAGGAGAACAGTTACTGCATGGGCAGTTCTTGGCGTTCACTTCCACGAAGAAAGAACAGAATATTAAAGCAACTGTGAAAACGCAACAACTTTCAAATAACCAACATAGAAACCTTCATCTTTAACAGTTTGGTTCTTTGAGAAAACTAAGTTTACCCAGATGAATAAAAGTTCAGATATGAAGTGAAGATATTGTCCCTCAGATAATGAGGGATCGCTGTTGTCAAATAGCAACTGCAGTCAGTAAGTATCTTTAAGATATACTCATTTAAAGTAAAAATTAAAGTCAATTGATCTCTGAATTTCTCTTGAGAGCGCTAAACATTGTTTGTAGACATCAAATAACCCATGTCTGTTCTTGAGAATGAAAGAATACCTTTATTTGAGCATTGTTTCGCTAAGAATACAGGAAAGCATTGCTTGATCCATCATATCTACTCGGTTTTTCATACTACTGTATCTTTAAATGATCACTTGATTTTATTTACAAACTGCTACTAAACTTGTATAAACTTGAGATTACTTTCTGGAGTTAGCCCTGCTCCGCAGTGCCCTCGCACTCACTTGTTCCTACCAGTTCTTTTAAACAAGTTAACCCTTAGTAGGTGTGAAGAACAGGGGCCAGCGTAACGCCATCCCTGAGGTGAATTCTGTGGTTCTGATTTCCCCTTCTGCACGGTGCCCGCACACCTGCTTCAACCGGGCCCAGCAGCCGCTTTGCCAACACACAGACGTGATTTCGAGACTTTACTTCGACATATTTACCTCAAAGAGACGCGGCTGCTCGGGGATGCTTTTCTTTCCTTCTTCATATACCCTGAAACAAAACGAAGCATCACCTACTTGGCATCTCCCTCACAGAAAACCCCCCTCCGTACACAAAACCACCGGAGAGCCCTCAGGAGCCCCCCTCGGGCCCGGACCCGTCGGGATTTCTCCCCGTCCCCCTCGGCCGGTCCCGTCCCGCACCGGAGGAGCTCCCGGTACAGCTCGGTGCCCGCCGCCCGCCTCGCGCTTCCCGCCGCCATCGTCCCCGCCTCAGCCGCGCCTCTCCCGCCCACCCCGCCCCACGCCGCTCCCCTTCCCCTCCCCACGGCCAAAAAAAATATTTTTTTCCCCATCTAGGAAGGGATTTTATTCGGTTTTATTCTCTCCCTGCGCCTTTCTGTGGAAAATAAGAAAAATAATTAAAAAATATTTTAAAATTTAAGTTTTGTGAGAAGGAAGAGACACGACGTCACGGGAATCCCTCCGCCACAAAAGAGTCCCTCGGTTTGGGAGGTGACGGGCGGCGACGGAGGTGGCCGGGGGGGCTCGGAGGGCTCCGTGAGGCGGGTGGAGGGGTGCGAGGAGGGGACCGGAGCCGGGACCGGGGCTGAGGCCGCAGCCGGGGTCGGGGCGGTGCCGCCCGGGGTGGTGGCAGGGCGAGGAAGGACACGGCTGGTAGCGAGGCAGCGGCGCCGCGTCCTTCCTTTTCCGGTTGTGCCGCGGCGGCGACAGGCGGCAGCACGAGGGGCTCCGCCGCTGCCCTCATGGTGAGGGGGGGCGCGGCGGGACCGGGCCGGCGGCGGGGACGGAGGCGGCCTGGGGCGGGCGGTGGGACTGGGCCGAGGCTGGCGGGACGGGGGCTGAAGGCAGAGCCGGGCCGATGGCAGCGTGAGGGCTGCAGGCGTGGAGGGAGGGGGGGAGCGGCCGCCATTTTGGAGGCGTCAGCGCTCGGAGCGGGGCCTAGGAGCTGCCTATAAATATATATATATATATGCACACACACATTTATATATGTACGCATTGCTGATGCGATTCAGGTCCTGAACCATTTCCCATTTCCTTCGCCCTGATGAAGTTTGTGGTGTGCGGCCCCTGTGCCAACTCCAAGAGTCGGGGCCTTGCCGGTAATCACCATTAGGAAAGCAGCGCGGTGCCTTCCGTTCACCTGGCTGGTTACTTCTTGGAGTTTTGTGGTGTTTTTAACATCTGTGAAATAAATTATATATGAGGAAGGGAAGGAAGGTACCTTGCCTGTGCCACTGCTATGAGCTGTTTGTGACAAACGCGTTTTAATGCTCAGAGATTCTTTTGTAAAGATTTCTGTTCAGACTAGCAAGGTATTGTTGCTCATCTTCAAGACATTTTGAAAGGAAGCTGGTGCTGCTGGCCACTCAGTTTTTCATCTCCCAAATTTTGAGGCACAGTACTGTTTGGGGATCCATACGTTAAAAAAGAAATTACTAATTTTAAGTTAACTTGCTCGTAGTCCTTGTGAGTCTCTATATTGTATTAGAGAAGTTGTTTAGAAGGCCTAGAGATTGGGTTCTAGATTAACCTTAGTCAAATGATGTTGACATCTCTTGAATTCAAACGTCAGATATGGTGTTCAGAAATTGGGAAATGTTGGGGAGCAGTATTTTAAGTGAAAACTATTGCTGTGATGATGTAATTTGCGTCTTATCCAGTGTTCAGTGACAGTTGCCTGCTGTCAGCATGCTGGCACTGTCGAACTGAAGACACCTTTCATTCTGAGCAATATTTTATTGTTCTAAATGCTAGCGATGGACTTGACTTGTGCTCAAGAGTTTTTCCTTTTCTCTTTTTCAGGCTTGCGCTCGACCGTTAATATCTGTCTACTCCGAGAAGGGAGAAGCATCAGGGAAAAATGTCACCCTGCCTGCCGTGTTCAGGGCTCCCATTCGCCCTGATGTCGTGAACTTCGTTCACACCAATTTGCGCAAGAACAACAGGCAGCCCTATGCTGTCAGTGAACTTGCAGGTATGGTTTGTCTGCAGAACGGGTGGAATAACTTGTGGTGGCTGTTGATTTTTAATGTAGGTGGGTTAAAATTGAAACAAATCTAGAATTGAAATAAGAGAAGCAACAATCAGTAGGATTTTGAAGAGAAAACAAGGAAACTATTCTGATTCTTAACAATCTGACTTTAAATTACATGAAATGCTTACTATTAGGAAAAGCAGATCCTTAATATGGTAAGAGTGATTTTACCTTATTAGGGTTTGTTTTGCTGAAATGATGAGATTCCACTTCAGTGGTCCGTGTTTCTGAACCATATGATAACAGTGGAAGTTCTGATTATTGGTATCAAACTCAGCGTATCGGTGACTTAGGGGAAATGGCAGTGTTGTCACTCTCTGAATTAAAATCTTTCTGCTGCAGGTCATCAGACCAGTGCCGAGTCATGGGGCACTGGGAGAGCCGTCGCTCGTATTCCTCGAGTACGAGGTGGCGGAACTCACCGCTCTGGCCAAGGTGCTTTTGGGAACGTATCCTTTCACAGCTGCTGCTTGCGTCAAGTGTAAATCTAAACTCATCCAGGAGAAGTAACTGTAAAGTAACTAAAGGTGAAATGGAATTTTTCCATGTCTTGGGGTAATGGCTGCCCACAGTGATCTGGACCTGAGTCTGAGAAAACTTGGATATGACTAAAAGCACCTGTGTGCAAATTCAGACTTACTTGAACAAACAGAAGCATTCGTTCTTTTTTTTTTCCCCCTACAAAATTGGTGGACGAATCTTGTGATGCATACTGTCTTGCCATGATGTCGTAATTTGCGTCTTACTCTGTGCTCAGTGACAGTTGCCTGCTGTCGGTGTACTGGTACAGATGGTTGACGAACAGTTGATGCTGAGCAAGTATTAAAGAGGCACACACTGGAAAAAGTAACTTCAAAAAGGTTGTTCTTAACTGTAGATACATAGATGTGTCGTGGAGGCCGCATGTTCGCCCCAACCAAGACTTGGCGACGCTGGCACCGCAGAGTGAACATAACTCAGAAGCGTTACGCCATCTGCTCCGCACTGGCAGCGTCTGCTCTTCCAGCACTGGTCATGTCTAAAGGTGAGAACTCTGCTTCTGGAAATGTTTGCCTGTGGTTTGGCATTGCCTGAGCAGTATCAGTAACTGTGTGATGACATGAAATGGTTCTTGTGGGTAAATAAATGCTCCTTTACAGAGTTGAGGAGGCAGTCCCATTCTTCAGCAGGATGAGTTTTTGTTATGTACAACTGGGGGAGGTCACACACAGCTTCGCAGTGTTGGAAGTTAGGTGATACTGAGGTGCTTCTGTGTGCATTACTGGCATGAATCTTGTCCTCACAGTTACGGAAAATGAGATTGAATTTTGAATCACATGGAAGTTCACTTTGATTTCTCTTGGTAGAAGCCAGAGATTACGCTTAAAATTTACTTGGGTATTGTTTGAGGCAGGCCTGTAAGACTTCACTGGAAGTTCTCTACTGTTGTTACTCTGCCTGCATATTAGAGACTGAATTTCATTTCTACTTTTGTTGTTACATCGTTTCTGAATAATCCTTTTACAATCCTCATTAGGCCACTGCATTGAGGAGATTCCAGAACTTCCTCTGGTCGTTGAGGACAAAGTTGAGAGTTACAAGAAGACAAAGGAAGCTGTTCTTCTTCTGAAGAAGCTTAAAGCTTGGAATGACATCAAAAAGGTGAGTTGCTACAGGTATGTTCTTAAGAACACGTTCCTATAATCTGCTACCCAAAGTTCTATTCGGGTTTGATGCCACACAAAATCCATTGGAAACAAAACTGACTGCTTAAACTTTTTTTTTTTAATGGCAGCTTCTTCCTGTGCTGCGTTAATCTGAGCTCATTTCTCTTCATATCAGTGCTGCGTAACATTGATAGCTCGGTCTTCTTTGATTCTTGGGAATGATGAACTTCTCACTGGTCCGTGTTTCAGATAATCAGTGATGATTGTGAAGTTCTGACTAAAATAGATTTGTGTCTTACTATTGTAATGTGGATGTTTTTGAATATTCACAAATTTGATTTTTTTGTCTAGGTTTATGCCTCTCAGCGTATGCGGGCTGGAAAGGGTAAAATGAGGAATCGCCGTCGCATCCAGCGTCGGGGACCCTGCATCATTTACAATGAGGACAATGGGATCATTAAAGCTTTCCGGAATATCCCAGGTAATTTTAACTTGAAACATGCTTGCTCTTCTTGGAAGACTGCCTTGAATGATGAGATTCCACTTCATTGGTCCGTGTTTCTGAAACACATGATTTTGTGGAAGTTCTGACTTAGAGCAGTTAACAGCTTCATTTCTGGGAATTTGATTTGGTGATGCTAACAAATGTTTACAACAAATTTTATGGCTGTCACCATCCATAAACTTTACTTGGAACAGTAAAACTGAAGTTCTTAAATTTGTTCCTGGAAAAGGCTGTGTTTTTTTTTTTAATTTAATAGTTTTTCATGTATGTGCATATATAACTTAGTAATGTAGAAGTTTAGTAAGTCCATTATCAGTTTCTATTTCTTTCTTAGTTCTGTGTTCTTTAATTTTCATTACAAATCAGAAAGGTGTGTCTGTTTTTCTATAGGAATTACTCTTCTGGATGTGAACAAGCTGAATCTGCTGAGACTTGCTCCTGGTGGCCACGTTGGGCGTTTCTGCATTTGGACTGAAAGTGCCTTCCGCAAGTTGGATGATTTGTATGGCACCTGGCGCAAACCTGCTACTCTGAAGAGCGACTATAAGTAAGTACAGCTGATCTCTGACACGGCTACATGAGGTAAGAAAAAAAAAGTGGCAGAATAACATGTTGGTGTCACAGATTCTTCAGGTTAGATATGGAAAAAAAACACAAGTCAGTAATTTTACTAAATATCTCTTAATTGAATTAGTCGTGTTTTTTTCGTACCAACCTAAACTCTGAACGTTTGCTTCACAGCCTGCCAATGCATAAGATGACCAATACGGACCTTGGAAGAATCCTGAAAAGCCAGGAAATCCAGAAGGCACTGCGTCCTCCAAAGTAATAACTTTTAACTAATGAATTCCAAGTGTAGTCTCTTTTTAGTAATTGCCAAGTGTAAGACTTTGTATTGAGATCAGAAGTCTCTGTCCCTTGAGATGTGAGAGAATGCTGAGGTTTCCTTAGTTAGTGGGTGTAAATATTAGGAATTACATTTCTCCCAAATCAGACTTCAGGGAGAGTTTTACGGAACTTGAACTGAAATGTGGTCATGACGCATGTCTGTCCCTTTCAGGAAGAAGATTCACCGCAGAGTCCTGAAGAAGAACCCACTGAAGAATCTGAGAGTGATGATCAAGCTGAACCCATACGCCAAAACCATGCGACGCAACACCATCCTGCGCCATGCTCAAAATGTGAGTACAAATGGAAACCAGTAATACAATCTTGGAGCATTACAACCCCTTTTGTATTTGCTAATGATCCTTTTCCTTTTTTTGTAGCACAAACTCAAGCAGGAGAAGAAAGCCAAGGCCAAGGTTACAGCTAAGGCCCAGGTCTCAGCTTAAGGCCCAGACCAAAGGCAAGGCTGCAGGAAAAGCTCCAGCGAAGGAGGCAGCAAAGGCCCAGGCTGAAGCGTAAACCCCTGTGCAGTTCTCATCCACCTAAGTTCAGAGAGCTGTACTGTGGATTTCCATCTAATAAATTCTATTGGAACAGTGAAATGCTTCCATGTTTTTCTGACAGTTTATTGTGGTGGGGACAGAATGTAGTTCAACAGTCAGGAAGAAAAATATCAGGTTCATGTGGCTTTAGAAGCACATGAAGAGGGGATGTGTGAAAGAATTGTCTTATTGTCCAAGTTGAAGGCAGTAGCCTGGGAAAGGGGCTTCTGCAGCAAAGGCTTAACTTAAAAGTCTTAGGCTGTTCTTTTTATGTCTTAAAACGTGTGCTTTATGGGTTTGAGGGGAGTGTTACTTAAAAGCAAGGATTTGCATTTTTTTTAAGTATCTTTTTAAGTATCTTAATTCAGAGATAGGAAACGCTTACCTGACTTAGCCCGCTTGGAGCAGCTTTTGGAAGAGAAGAGCAGACAGCAGGGGCGGGGGCAGAGCTGAGGCGAATTCCTGTCAGCAGCAGGGGGCTGGAGCTGGGGGGGGGCTCCCCTCACCCCTCAGTAAAACTGTAACGAGCCCATTTCTGCCACCAGAACTGCACCAAATATACATTATTTTTTCCCCTTCCCGTGCGTGACGAGTTAAAAACGCACGTTTAATTAACACGTTTAATTAACGAGGGCGGCTGCGGCGGCTCTGCCTGCGCTTGGGGCCGCGGCCGGGCGGGGGCAGCCTGGCTGCAAATGGCGGCGGGCCGTGACGTCACGCCAGGCCTCGGCTGAGGCGGCTCCGCCGGCGCTCACGGGGGCGCTGCCGGGGCCGGGCCGGGAGGAGCCGGGAGGGGATCGGGGCGGCGGTGCTGGGCGGTGCGGGCGGGCAGGATGCTGAGCCGCCTGCAGGAGCTGCGCAAGGAGGAGGAGACGCTGCTGAGGGTGAAGGCGGCGCTGCACGACCAGCTCACCCGCCTCAAGGTCGGCAGGGCGGCGGGCGGCGAGGAGCGAGGCGGAGCGGGGCGACCGGAACGCGGCGCTGGGCGGGTGGGTGGCAGCGGGCCCGGTGCTGGGGCCTCCTCCTCCTCCTCGTCCTCCTCGGAACGGGAGGGGATTGCTCGTGGCCCCGGGGCTGCCTCAGGGCGCGTCAGTCCCTCGTGCAGTGAGGGCAGAAGCGCGGCTTCGCGGCCGTGGCTGCTGGCGGTGCCTCAGGCAGACCTCGTTTCGGTGTGGCAGAGTCGCAGCAATAAGGGTTTGTCTGTCCCCTGCCCGCAGGTGGAGGAGCTGGCGCTGCAGTCCATGATCAGGTCCCGGGAGGAGGATGCGGCCGTTCCGGCGGCAGCTGCTGCGGAGAGCCAGGAGGTGAGGGCAGCGCTCGGCCCTGCGGTGGGAGCAGCAAGCTGGGCCCCCTGAGCGGGCACCCTGCTCGGTTGTGTGCACGGGCAGCTGAGCTGCTTCATGCGTGCTCTTGGTTGGAACAGCCCAGCTGTAAAATCCACCCCGTTTGTTACCTTTCAAGATAAACCCAAAGGGGTTTTCCCACCCCTGAAAGCAGCAGGTTGTTGGCAGAAGGGTTGGGCATACCTTCACTTCACAGTATGCAAGTACACCAGGCTTATTGAGCGTTGTGGCTACTCTTAACTGTGACACTGTTTTAGCCATCTGATCGTAGGGGATGGAGGTACCAGGTACAGGTATCATCTGAACTTTTACCTGAAGTGTGGGTTTAATGGGTTGAAACTCTTCTGTGGAGAACCGATGCGCTTTGCTTCAATGGGCTCTTACAGCCAACAGTTCTAAGTACCAAGATCTCTAACAGACACCGTGACCATTTTCTTTTAATAGTGGTGTGAGAAGCATTCAGTATTGCTTCTTGTTTTGATAACTGGTAAATTAAACTCTTTTATTGTAACAGACTCTCGGGCAGATGGACAACGAGGCTGCTATCAATCAAACTGAATTACAGCTAAGTCTTCAAGATCACGAAGAGGAAGAAGAGGAGGAGGAGGAATCAGATTCTTGAGAGAAAAAAATCAAAGATGTTTTTTAATACAGACTCAGGAATTTCTTCTTTGTTCATATAAAATTTGCCAGCAGATTTTCATGTATGGTTGTGATCCATGATGGAAGACTCGGGGAGTCTGGGGAGGCTTACCCTTGAATATGAATATCAGAAGCTTGGCAGATTTTGAATTAGATGTTAAAAGAATGAAGATTTGCTGCACAGATATGTAGCATAATCCATTTTGTGTTTAAAACCTAATGTGTAGCTTATATTACATCTTTATACGTGGATGGGAAAAGTCATTAATCCAGTCAGACTAATTTAACACAGTAAAAGCAATAATTTGTCTGTTCTTATTTCCAGTTGCTGAAATATAAAACCAGGCCACGGATGCTGGTTGCTAAACCAACGATTATATTAAAACCTCATCTGCTTTAACTGGGAATTTTAAGATATGCAGTGAGCACAGATGTGTCCAGGATTGTCTCCAGGTATTCAGCTGCTATTTTCTCAGTTACACAGACCACCAGATGTACACTTCCTATAAATGTGACTGATAGATGTAGGTGTTCTTACACTGGGAGAAACAGATATTGCACTGTTGACCTCATTTTAAGTGCAGTAGCAAGGGAACCTCTCTTTGTCCCTACTGGTGCTGTTCTTAAGTACTGTCAGTCTGACTGAAACAGTGAAGTATTTTCTACTTCTTGCTCTTTCAGCGTAGCAGCTAATTGGCCTTCTATTGTGACACAAACTGTATGGTAATAATTAGTCCACGTTACTTGTAGTAAAAAACTGATACTTTAAAATTAGTTTTATTTTCTTTTTCCCTCATGGTAACTTCATAGATCAGTGTAAGGCCACTTTCCGTTTTCAAGTTATCTTCAAAGAATAGGAGGAGCTTACAGAAAGGGATGTGAAGTCTCCTCCACAATTTCTTTTGTACAGTAACAAGCTAGTGCTGCTCCTACCAGTAACAGTATGTTCTTTCTCCTTGTGGAATGCAGACACCATGTGGTACAGTTATTTTATCAATTCTTGAAGACTCATTTTGACGCACACAAACTCAAACTCTGTTAAACTGATTAAAAACAAATAAAAGTAATGTTCTAATTCAGATACTTTGTCAAACTGTCTTATTGAGAAACTAGTCAGTTACAACAATCCAGGCCTGTTCATTGCATGGCTAGTAGCAAAAGGTGCTACTGCTGTCTCTGGTATTTGGTATTAGTAGCTCAGAAAAATAATCCTCTCAAGTTTGCTTTTAAGAGTGGGAAAAGTACTTGGAAAAGTGTCAAGGATCCTGGGTGTGGTCAGAACACTTGATTCAGCTGCCAATAACTTCCTGCCACTGTTTGAAGAGCGATTATTTGGCTCTTATTTGACTTGTAGCTATAGGAACTGATCCTTAGAATGTAAATGTAGCTTCATCCTGTACTCAAGACTAATTGTTTGAGAAGCCTGGATGTCCTAATGAGAGCTTAGAACACCAGCACAAACACTTAGCAAAGCCGTCCCAAGGTGTACAGGGAGAAAAAAAGTCTGAGCAGATGTTGTGGCTTGGAATGACAATTCTTTGGAAGTATCATGCAAAGAGCTGCTTTGTAAGGGGCTCAGTAGACATCCTCTCCCTCCTTTGCATTCGTGTTTGACCTGCATTGGGCACTGCACTTGGTTCTGTGTCTCCATCCTAAAATAGGTGCACCTGCCTCAGGCTTTGCTTCTCCAAAGCCAGTTCTGGAAGGGTTGTTAGAGGGTTTTATTACCAAAAGTTCATTTTGACCTTTGAAAAAAATGTTTTAGTCTTCAACATGTTACAGAGTAGGGTTCAGGGCTATACTTTTATCTCCTTTCTTCCCTCTACCTTTTGTGAGCCAATGCCTTGTGGATTGGATATTGGATTAAAATAGACGACCAAGTTTGCATGTTGCAATAAAGTACTACTGCTGTTGTACTGTCCTACTACATCTGCCTGTGCTTACAGCACTCACATTACTGGCATATGTGGAGCAAACAAGTAAAATCAGCTTTCTTCTCTAAATACTTGCTATTCACAGGCTGCATATTTCATTTAACAAATGATAAAGTACTATCTTTTTTAATTTTTATATATTCTTAAACTGAACTGCACAACCCTGTCAATACTACCACCACTCACATTCAAGTTGAAGGAAGCCCTGGAACTGTCATTGAGTGATCTCCAGCTGTTGACAGATTGAGAACTATTCATGGAAGTTCATATCTAGAATGATTTGGATTCCATAGTGGAAAGGAACTTCCGAATTCTCCTTGTCTGGTATGTCCTCTTCTTGTCTGATATGTCCTTTCATGGAGCTAAGCTTTGCATAGCATTGCTTAGAGTGGCTGTAAAGAGAACATGACTTAGTGCTGAGGACATTTTACAGCAATGGCGAATAGCTTGCTGAGTTTAGAAGCTGAACTTCGGAAGAAAAACTCATGTGTTGCTGAGCTCCTGTACCACAGTGCCGGTTTGTCCTAGGAAAATGCCTGCCAGTCCCCATCCAGGGGGCTGCAGGAATGAACCAAGCACTGAATGCTGTGCAAAGCTCGTGAGCACTACAGAGACAAAACTTCTGCAGTCAGACTTCCCCCAGACATGCCACACAAATCCAGTATGCAGGAAAGTAACAGGCTCAAGTGACAGCTGGCTCTAGCCCTCTAACTTCACAGCTATGTTAGAAATTCTCATTTTATATACACAACTTTATACTTCTCAGACCAAGGATACTACACAGTTGTGAAAAAAAGAGGCACAACATATAACAGTCACAATTTAGGATTAAGGTCTTGGTTAAGTTTTTCTTCTTGAGTTCAAATAAAAACTTCAAGAACTTATTTGATAATATATTTATTAAGAGAATTCATTGCTAAACATCTGAAAGAATAAAACAATAGAGGATCTTCATACACTTTAGACATCAAACACAGCTGTCATGAATCTTTAGGTTAAAAGAAAGCAAACTGCCTGGATCTTTGTCATGATTCTGTAGGACACTTCCAAGAGCTAACTTTTAAAAATCAATTAGAAAGACATACATCACTAAATCCAAGTATGATGATACATTTTAAAAATAAATATAGAAATATGAACAAGTCTACAATTAGAATATTGCCCTGTACATTCCAAGAGATACAGAGCTCTTGCCTTCTTTACCTGGAAAGAGAGATCTCTAAACAACAGCAAAATTGGAACCATTAGGCCTAACTTTCAAGATACAGTTTGGCAGCAGCAAAAGCATGCTCGACAGATACAGTTTTGGAGCATCCCTAACCCTTTTTGCGTGGGAGATTAGGTAAGCATGATTGAAGTACCAATGATTTACAAAGAATCTTGATAAAGTTCAAACAAGCTAGGGGTAAATACCCCCAGTGATATTTCATTAAGAAAGAATATCCATAATCACTTAAAATCAGCAAGCACTGTAACTTAAACATCTTACATTTTGGTCAGCAAACAAATGTAATCCAATACAATACCAATTAGTTTATGACAAAATTTAAAACCATTTGGCACATGCTATAAAGACATTCTTCCTTAAGAGGTGAAATACATGTTTGAACAGGTACAAGCTTAGGAAATAGGACCAAAGTAGCGCTGTTAACAGACGTACAGTGCAGTATTTGCTCTTCCATATTCAGACTCCAGCAGCATGCGTGGGTGTACTTGGTTGGTTAAGGCCTATGGTTGAACAAAGCCATCCTGCAAAATCCACCTCCTCTGCTTCAGATCTCTTAATGAAAGCATGAATCTTAGCAGAGGAAAACAAAATTACTCAAACGCTCAAGGTAACACAATCAGGTAAAGAATAATTTTGAATAACATGAGTTATAAAAAGTCTAGTTTACTTCCTGTGTTGTTGTGGTTTGCTAGATCTTATAGCTAGCTTGAAGTGACCAGTAAAAATTTTCTATAGGAATAATGAGATAACCAGCATGTGAAATGTTCACATTGCAAAGTATTCCAGAGAAATACTGCCTACAGAGTGCCTATTGCAGAATAATTACACCACAGTATATGATAAGGATGTGACTCAGCCACTTGATAATACTCTGGAAAATGTCTGCTTGTGTTTTCATACACAAGGGCTTTTTGTAACAGGCTTTGATTGCATTTTGCACTCTTACCACACAGCAGGATCAAGGCACAGAAAACTTGATTTTATGCAGTAGAACTTCAGTCCTATCATTAAACTTAAGGCCATTACATAAAGTCATTTCATATAGAAAAAAATGCAAGATTTGTTTGTGGCCAGCAGTTCTACAGATTTTGTAAGAAAAAGCTGATGAGAGACAGGCAAATTTTGTTTCTCAGATGTTGATAAAATTTCATTTAACTAGTTCATAAGATAAGTAGAATTTGGTTCTTTTGTCATCTTGCATACTTTATGATTGCTTACTAAACCAAAGTACAAACCACAGTAAAAGAGAATTCTTCTGCTAATCAATTTAACAGTATGAAGTCATATACTTCAAATTATCAAATGTCAGATTGAAAAACCACCAGGATGGGGCTCTTGGACAGCTCCTATTCTAGGAGTGTGTGAAAGCCTGAAGCCCCTTGATCTCTGGATGAGAAAAGTGGCCCCTTCCGACAGTTTGAGCTGTTTGTATCAGGAGGCACAAACAACATTCTAGGCCATATGCTCATCCTGGTCTCAGGCCAGCTGAGGAACCCAACCTGCATGGAAGTAGTGCTCCTAGCTCAAGTGAAGAACTTTCACTTACCATCAGCTGCTTCAAATCAGCTCTCTCAGCAGGATTTTTAATTAAACTAGGAAAACAAAGCGTTACACAAGTTATACTCTTAAAATAAAGATCCAGCTAGATTGTTAGTATACTGCTTTCATCCTGAGAAGATACCACTCTAGATAAAAGCATGAAGTAATGTAGTGCCACTCAAACAGAACTGGGTCTGTAAGCAATTCTCTTCTGTAGGTTTCACAGGTATAGTTTTAGGTATGAAAACCTGAGTTGCCCAATATTGTTCAGTGGGGGCAGGAGTGAGCATCTAAGACTAAGCTGGACAGATCAAATTCCCATTTAAACTCAACATTCTCAGTGGCTTTATCCCTCACGTCTCTCTTACCTAAGTCTTTTTCAAGCTCAGTATCAAGTAGATGTTACTTTGTATTATGGCTCTTTCTTTGAGAAAGAAGTAATTCATCTATGTAGCTTTAGAAAAAAAGACAACTCATTTTTCCCACATTAATGAACTACCTCCCTAAGCACTGAATATACTGGCTCAGTGCAGGTATCACTGAAACAATATTGGAAAAGTAAACAAATGGGAGAATAACTGGTAAGATAAAGATGTTAGTTCAACAAACCATTAGGGAAGAGAAAAAGCATCTGGAGCCTAGAAGACTTCTGCACCATATGGAATGCTCACTACAGAATGCTGTGAAGGTTACCCATGAAAGTCCAGATCCTCTTATAGAAGCGTGTTGTATGATCAGTCCACAAAAGTACTGTGGTGTCTTCAATGCTGAGAAAGTACTAAATTAGAGTTGCACACAGAACCAGAGGTCGTATCTTACAGAGGGGAACATCTCTTAGCTCTGGGGTTCTCTTTGGATGCATATGCTGTCAAGCTGGTCCCTGTAAAGTGAGCTTTAGGCACATTAAGAGAAAATACTTACCATTTGTTAACAAAGTCTTGAAATTCAGAACCAAAAACACCATTGGGCAATTTTGGAGGTGGCTAAAAACAAAAGAGAAGAGTTGTTTAAAGCAGAAGAAATACATGAGGCTGTACAACCTACCCAGAGATCTACCAGTTATATGTCTAATATCTGAGTAAAGGTGCAAACACAAATAATGCAGCCCTAGCACTTCCCAAGCCTTCTTTCAAAGCTGAGCTCTGAAGCAAGTGTCAGGCCGACCTCTGTCTCCATGCATATGAACAGAGCATGTGCTGCCATATGATTTACAAAAGTAAAGATGCTCAGTTTAATACTGGTTAATTTTGGTCATTACTTACTGATAGCTACTGGATTTTACATGTTTCCATAATAAATCAGACTAGTTTGTGTTTGTGTTTTTATTATTGTTTTTAAACACACATACCTCAATGGGGTTAACACAGCCCTGAGATGT